GGCTCTTCAAGTTATCAAATACAACCAAAGACTCTATGGAAACCTAAGCTTTAATTTTTCTTAGTTCTGTCCTAGGGAAACCAGACAGACCCCCACAGGCCCTGGCACATAGCTACAGTATCAAAATATCAACCTTGGGATCTGGGACCTAGGAAATCCCCATGTGTCTTGTCTGAAAAAATCGGTTGAGTTCCTCAAATTGCATACAACGATAATAACTACCGTTTATAATCATGTTTTTACATAAATTCTGTCCAGTCCACATGGGAATTTTACAAGTAGCTATTCTGATGCCTATTTTAATGGCAAGAAAACAGATGAGGTGAGTTGCTCAGAGTCACAGCTAGTAAGTGGTAGAGCCAGGATTTAAACTTAGAACTTAACTCCGAGATCCATATGTTTTCTGTAATACCAAGCCACAGAATCCTGGGCATGTTGCTTTGGTGTTCCATTGGTTTAATTTTGGTCATCAAAGAACTGCTATGTAGGGTGAGAATTGTCCCAATTTGCTTGGAATGGAGAATATTGGTCTTTGCTATAACTAGGGAAGTCCTGAGCAAGTGAGAATGAATTGCCCTCCACCCCTAGTGTTTGGGAAGCCACTTCAGCACATTTCAGGATACTGCAGATGACATAACCTATTGGCTTAAACACTATCATGGATTGCATTGTATTCCCCCCTTGCCCCAAATTTATATGTTGAAGCCCTAACCCAACAATGTGACTGTATTTGGAGATAGAGTCTTTAGGGAGGTAATTAAGGTTAAATGAGGTCATAAGGGTAGAGCCCTAATCCAGTAGGACTGGTATCCTTATAAAAAGAGGAAGAGACACCAGAGATCTCTTTCTCTTTCTCTGCGTGTACAGAGAAGACGCCATGTGAAGACACAGTGAAAAGGCAGCCATCTACAAGCCAAGAAGAGAGCTCTCACCAGAAACCAACCCCGATGGCACCTTGAGGGGACTTGTGGCTTCTAGAATTGTGAGAAAATTAATTACTGCTGCTTAAGCCACCCAGTCTGTGATATTTTGTGGCAGCTCAAGCAGACTAATACAAACACATAGAGGAGTTAAGTGGCTGGCCTACCTGAAACATTCAAGGATGGTGCAAGTTTAGGCTCAGCTTGATTCATAGGCTGAAATGAAGTCACTGGGACTTGATCATGTCTTGTCCCTCAGCTCTGTTTTCCTCAGTGTTGGCATTTGTGATAGGCAGCCTCTGAAATGGCTCCCAATGTTCTCCAGCTCCTGGTATTTGTGATTTTTTAATCTCCTCTCCTTGAATGTGACCCTGACATAGTGACCTACTTCTAATGTCTAGAATTTGGCAAAGTGATGGATATCATTTCCGAGAATAGGTTACAAAAAGATTCTGGATTCTGTTTTGCTTGTTTTCATTTACTCTCTAGCTTGCTCTGATGGAAGCCAGCTGCCATGTTGTGAGCTGCTCTAAGGAGAGGCCCATGTAGCAAGAAAATGAAGGAGACCTCTGGCCAACAGCCAGTGAGAAATGGTGGCCCTCAGTTCAACAAAGAACTGAATGCTGCCAACAATCACGTGAGTGAGCATGGATGCAGATCCTCCCCAGCCGAGCCTTCAGATGAGACTGCAGCCCCAGACAACACCTGAATTGCAGCCTTGTGAGACATTAAGAAGCACCCAGCTAAGCTGTGCCTTGATAATAGATGTTTGGGTTTTTTTGGGTTTTTTTTGTTTTTTTTTTAGCTAAGCCATCCTGGCACCTGTTGGCAGCTCAGCGGCAGCTCAGCCCGGACCGGGCATCAAATCGCTGTTGCTCAGAGCTCAAACTCTTGAGCAAGCTCTTAACCAACTGAGCCACTCGGCTGGCCCTTAGATGTTTGTTGTTTTAAGCTGCTAAATTTTGGGGTAATTTGTTATACAGAAATAGATAACTATTACAGCTTCTCTCAGGAAGGCCTTCTTTCCATGGAATTCCTAAGTAGCTATGGGCTTGCCCGCTTCCAGGTACAAGTCAGGGAGAGAAAGATTCCATCCCCACCGGTTCAAACAAACTCTGAGGATTAAGTTTTATTAGATGACTGGATCATGTGCCCATCCTGAAATTAATGGAACATAATAATTGGACCTGCTAGGTCACATGCCAAACTTTAGATCCAGGGGTGGAGTCAGCCCATCCAAATTACATAAACTGGACTTCACATTTCAGAACCCAGGAATAGAGGATTCTAAAATCTTACAAAGAAAAAACAAAAACAAAAAAATCTCCAGGATGATCAAGAACCAGAATGGTCCCAAACTTCTCAGCAGCAATGATGGAAACTGCCTAGAAGTCTATACTAATAAAATAAATGTGAAGGTAGAGAAAGGACAATTTAGGGGGCCGGTCAAGTGGCTGAGTTGGTTAAGAGCGTGAGCTCTGAGCAACAGGGTCGCTAGTTCGATTCCCACATGGGCCAGTGAGCTGCGCCCGAGCTGAGCTGCCAACAGGTGGCAGAATGGCTCAGCTGGTGAGAGCACATGCTCCTAACAAGGTTGCCGGTTCGACTCCCGCATGGGATAGTATGCTATGCCCACCTGCAATTAAGATTGAACACGGCACCTTGAGCTGAGCGGCTGCGAGCTGCCGAAGGGTGGCCGGATGGCAACTGGACTTGGAGCTGAGCTAGCTGCGCCCTCCACAACTAAGAGTGAAGGGCAACAACTTGGCTGTTCCCCTTCCCCAATTCCCCAACACTGTTCCCCTTTCCCACTTCCAATAAAATCTTAAAAAAAAAAAATAAGAAAGAAAAAGGACAATTTAAAGCATACAAAAAAATCTCAAAAAATTACTTCCCATAAATTCTTTCTCTGAAAGTTACTAGAGGACATGCTCCAACAAAAGGAGAACATAAACTAAGAAATAGAAAAATCTAGGAATACAGAAAATAGGGACTTCAACAAAGAAGAGACAAGAGAATCCCCAGGGTGATGACAAAGAGGAGCTGAAGGACAGTATCTGTGCAGCCCTTATCCAGATCAGAGTGGGCCTGGGAGGAGAGGGGGAGTTCCAAGAACAAAAATTAAACTGATAAATTATTTGACATAATCCACCATGTGTAAAACTGAATTGAAAGGCTTTTACTGAACTATTGGAGAGTGTGAGAAGTTAGTCAATTTCAAAGAACAAAACAAATAATAAAAGGGAAGCAATTATTAACCCCAGGACAAACACAATATTATGTATAAGGGAAGTATAAGTATGACACCAGTAACAATATTTACATAATAACAAAAGCAATGAATGTGTACTACACTCAAAAGTAAGATAAATATGTATATGGGAAATATGGGGAAAGAGAAAGTGGAGTGTATAATTGGTCAAAAACACTTATTTCTGATACCAGTCTGGAGAAAATGCTTAAAATTGATAAATCAAAGGAAAGACCAAGCAACTATCACAGAATGGAGGAGACTAAGGAGACATAATGACTCAATACAATCCTGGACTGGAACCCAAAACACTAGTGGAGAAACTAGTGAACACCAAATAAAGTCTGTAATTCAATTAATAATGTAGTAACATTAGTCTCTTAGTTTTGACAAATGTACCATGATCGTGTAAGATGTTAACATTAGAGGGAGCTGAGTGAGGGTATTTAGGAACTCTCTGTAGTACTATCTTTGCAACTTTTCAGTAAGTTAAAAATTATTTCAAGTGTTTTTTCTTTTAAATTGATATATCAGATTACATATGATTAAAAACATGGAGGTAAATATTTGAACCTGAGACCTAGAGTTGAAGGTAAGATAGGGGTTGGGGAGAGGAAGCAAAGGCCACTGTGCATTATTATAAACAGATTGTAACCAGTCAAAACAAACAGGGACTAAAACATCACTTAGTCCAATCTCCTCAGTATAAAGATGAGGAAACTAAGGCCAGAGAGGCAGGAGCCTAAGGCCAAACAGCCAATTGGCAGCAGAGCTATACTTTCCAAATTGTTCTATAGAGAAAATATGGATTAAGTGGATATTAATTTTTTTAAGAATCTGATTTTTTAAAAATTGCCTTCAATGACCCTTACTTAGAAAACCTACATCTACTCAGTTTCGAAACCAGAGGGAAGCCATGATAGGTGTTAGACCTATAAGCCCTCCTAGGAATCACTGGCTCAGTCAATGTCCTTGGAAAATGAGGGGACTTGCCTAGACTAGAACCTAGGTCATCAGCTTTGGCACCACCCTGGTCACCCCTTACTGAGCACTTCCCAAGGACTGGCCCTGGGCTACGCATTTTATATCCACAGTCTAACCACAGCCCAATGAAATATGTATTACCAAACTTGCATTTTCCAGTTGAGGAAACTGAGGCTCAAAGAAGTGGACCTTGCCCCAAGTCCCAGAGCCAGGAAGAGGTGAAGCCTGGATTTAAATTCAGGCCTGTCTGGCCACAGAGCCCAGGTTCTTCCTTAGTCTGCCATTCTGCCTCTTGTCCCCTCCTGGGACATAATACGTGGTCACCTCCAAACCAGATACTGATGGTATCTGGATGCCCAAAGCCCCAGCCCTCCTAGTTGACATCATTTTTACGGGGCCCCCAAGTGGCACAGGCAGGGTAGAAGGATCTGGATCTTACCTGGATGTCCTTCTGCTTGTTTTTTTGTTTTTCTTTTTAAAGATTTTATTGGGGAATTGGGGGAGGGGAACAGCATTGGGGAATCTGGGAAGGGGAACAGACAAGTTGCTGTCCTTTTGTTCTTCAGTCTAGTTGTGGAGGACGTTGCTTCACTGGCCCATGTTGGTATTATCACTGTGCTCTTCCCAGGTGAGGCAGTCGCTCGCCAGCCATTGGACGGCCGCTCACAGCGGCTCACACAGCAGCTCACGAAAGCGAACACCCGCTGCCAGCCAGCCCCACTGCAGCCTACACGGTCACTGACGACTCAACGTCAGCCCAGCTCCAGGTCGAGCTGTTGTTCACCATCTTAGCTGTAGAGGGCGCAGCATCACTGGCCCTCATGTGGGATCCGAACTGGGGCCCTGCTGCTCAGAGCTGGCGTCCCAAGCCAACTCCTAACCAACACGCTACTCAGCCGGCCCCTGCCCTTCCGCTTTTGCCCAAAATGGACATGCTCCCGGTGCTGTAGGTATTAGTTGGCCAGAAAACAACCAGGACTGACTTTAACCATCTGACAAATAAAATCATCCACCCTCTGGAAGGATAACAAACCTTAGGAAAAAACCAATACAGTCAATTTGCTAAGTAATTGCTTGTCAGATGTCAGAGGCCTGGGGGACACAGACGTGGAAAGGAGCTGACTGCTTTGGGATGTGCCCTTCCTGCTGGTAGCTGTTGGCTCAGCAGATACAGCTGGGTTGATGAAAAGCATTCATTTTCCCCCAGGGGATTGTTTCAGAGAGGATAGGTTAGGTTCTGCCTGTAACAATAAACATCTCAATGGCTTAACACTCAAGAGGCCCCTTCTCCAGGCTGAAGCCTAGAAGGAAGGGATAAGAATCGCTCCCCTTTGCTGAGCAGTGCTGGCTAGGTACAGGGCTCGATGCTGAGTGTTGATCCTAATCCCACAACCACCATGTGAAGGCTGTATTATCCCAGTAGTAGATGAGGGCCCCTGAGGCTTAGGGTGAGTCAAGCAATGTGCTCAGGGTCACACAGCTGCACAGGGATGGAACAAGGACCCAGGAAGGTCAGTCTGACACTAAGCTGTAACTGCTGACCACCACAATACCCTTGATGTACATGGATTGCTGAAATGAATAAATGGTCCAGCAAGAAGCTATGTGAAACCTGAAGCTACTCTTGTGAAGAGGAAAGCCATGATGGCAGACAGAGCTCTGGGCTCGCACGCTGGGTGCGCAGCTTGAGAACCATGTCAGCAAGGACAAGTCATCTAACCCTTTGAGCCTCAGTTTACTCATCTGTGAAAAGGGAACGTGTACCCTTGGTGGCGTGTTGTAATTAAATAGGACAGTGAATGTAAAATCGGGATTAGCACAGGGCCTGACTCAAAATAGATGCCTAACACCTGTTCTCATCAGAGAGGCTGCTGAGCACCATGGAAAAGGCAGAGTTTAGGCTACAGAGATAGGGAGAAAATCCCTTTGGAAGTCTGGCAGCTCTGCTCCTCCCTATGAAAAAGGTTTTTAGCTTTGTTTCCCCGGAGTGATCAGCAGAAACACCTTTAAAATAAAAAGGGTCTTTTGGATTAATTTGTAGAGAAAACGCTAAGAAAGGGCAAGCTGGGAAGAAAATAGAAACTAGAAGAAATAAAAAACATGGACGGCAGCTTTAAAAAGGTAAGGAATGTGGGCTGACTACCAGATGCAGGGGAGACGACATTAAGGGTCTGTAGACTGGGATGTGTCCCAGAGAAGGTCATGCCAGTTCTGGCAGAGAAGGAAGCAAGCCAGGCCCCTGTCCGCGTCTGCCTACGCTAGGCACGAGTGGCTCAGTTAAGTAACTCTAAGGGGCTGGGTTGTCCTGGGCTTCTCACTAGAAAACCCTGTCCTGAAGGCCAAAGGATTCTGTTGTTTAGCCTTTTCCTTTGAAGAAGAAAAATCTCTTTTGGAGGGTGACAGGCTCTGACATCCTGCCTAGGAAGCAGAGCCTCCTCCCAACCCCCCCCCCCCCCCCAAGCTGTTTGCAACCTTGTCCTGGCTACTGGAGACAAGCTTTTGTGCTGAGTCAGTTTGGCCGCCTTCCAGCCAAGAACAGAGTAGAGACTGCAATGCAGGGGCCATTAAAGGAACTATTTTTAGGCCACATTTCAATCTTATTCAGCACAGGCGGTGAGACGCAAGGCCTGGAGGTGGCCAGACCAAGGGGATGCTGGCAGAGACAAAGTCCCAGGCAAGTAGGTCAGGGGAAGACAAGGAGACTTTACTCTGTGGTGAGAAAGAAGCACCCAGAGGTTCACACTGCTGCCCAATGTGCAGAAGAAAGAAGAGGGGGACTTGCTTACAGAGAAGAATCAGGCCCTCCCGCATTATTTGAGGAATCACCAAGGAAAATGAGGCAAGGGAAGAAAGTATAGCTACTTCCAAAAAGAGACTAGGGCAATGGGCACCTGGGGAGCTCGTTAAAAATACACTTCGTTGGCCCATCTTAGGTCAACTGAGTCCGAATATTAGAGTGGGGTGCATGGGGATCTGCACCGCTAGTTGGCTCCCTGAATGGGTGACTCGCACACTGAAGTTCAAGGACCTCCGGGCTGGAGAGAATCTACCTCTGGAATTCAAAGGAACTGATGTCGGATCAGGGGAAAGAGGGGCACAGGTAGTGGCTGTCATTTAAGAGCCACTGGAGGTGCCTTCTCCCCGCACTGGGCGCAGGCTTTCATCTGTAAAATGAAGGGCCTGGCAGGGCCAGGAGACTCCTAGTTCCTCCTCAGAAAACCCGTCATTGGGTGCTCAGTGATAGCTGAGAGGACAGAAGGAAACAGCTTTTATACCAGAGGCCCATGTTATCCGAGGATAATCAGTAAAAGTCCACTTAGAGTGAACACACACACATTGGGGACCAAACTTCAAAGTATGTTGTGGCAGGAAAAAAACCGTTTGATTGGGACTATCACGAAAAAAAAAAAATTACATATATTGAAAGTTGCTAAAAGAGTAAATCTTAAGAGTTCTTAACACAAAAATGTACCAATGTGAGATGATAATGTACTGACTAACCTTATTGTGGTAATCACTGTGCTATATATAGTATATCAAATAATCATGTTGTACACCTAAAACTTACAGAATGTTATGTGTCAATTATATCTCAATAAAGCTGAAACTTATTTCATCTTGTAGCTATCAAATGTAGATTATATTTGCAACTGTGTAATCATTCTTAAATATTTTTACATCTTTATTATCTTATTTCTTAAAATGAATAAAGAATGAATTGAGGACTGACTTCGGGAGAATACAATTTTTCTGACAAAACTGTCCAAGAACACTATGCCATCCTTCCGTTGCCTGACTTTTGCAGGATTCCAAAAGAGGTAATTCTGCAATTATTTTAGAGGGTGTTACCTATACTCCCTGAACTTTTCTTAATCCTTTGAGAGGTAAGACATTATTTTTGGAGGCACTTATCCTGTCATCACCATGAAGATTCTCAGATGTCACCTGGTCTCCCTCTGCCAGAGCCTCACTGGGTGGAAGCTCTATATGATTCTCCAAAATCACTCCCAGTGCCTTCACAAAATCCTGCAAGATTTGCAATTATTTGTGATGTATTTGTCTTATATTTGTATGGCACGGTCAGACGTTCATGACACCCAGTGATCAGAGAATGTGGCCATCAGAGACACTGACGGAACTAGTGGAAAGAGGGAGAGGAGGAGAAAGAAGACTTTTTTGCTTTTGTGCTATGCTGACTTTGGCTTGCCCTGCCGCCTCCTAACAGCAGGGATTTATGATAATAATAGCAAGATGATGAGGATCTCCCAAAGCAGAAACAAGTAAGGTGAGTGTGGGTAAGAGGGCGGCATGTGTCTATAGAATCAGAATCATTTGCGCTCTGCTTTTCTTGGCCACCTAGAGAAAGCCTCTTCACAAATGCTCTTTCATTCTGTGCTGTGGCTTCCACTTACCCTTCCAGACTGCAACGCCGCCCCCTTCCTCCCAAAGGAGCCACAAGACAAAGGCCACTGGTCAGGTGACACTTTAATAGGCTAGAAATAAAAAACCTATCTTTGGAGACTATTGAGAGCCACATGTGAACCAAGGGAGAAAGCAGAGGCGTATCACTTAGTACCCAGGGGGAAATGGGAGGTCAGCGATGGCTGAAGAATCCTTGAGGATGGTTATATTTAAACGGCTTCATCCTGCAGGGACCCCTAGAGAAACAGGAGAAGGGAGATCAGTTAATACCATGCCCTTTGGGTGACAGAATAAATTACAGTTATCCACACAATACTATATAGCTGTTAGAGGAAAAGAGGAACGTGTGAGAAAAGCCGACTGCAAAATAACACATAAGGTGTGATACCATTTTTGTAAAAATGCCTTTATACACTTGTAAATGCATGAACACAGACCTGGAAGGGCCCTCGCTGACAATGGGGACAGGGCTTGGGAACCCTCACTTTTTACTGTTTTTACACAACTGTTCATAGTTGTTTGTATGTTTAACAACAAACATGTTTTATTTCTATAATTACAAAAAAAAAAAATTTTAAATCCTCCTGTGCAGGGAGATTTCTATGCAGGTAGGAGTCTGGAGTCAGGGAGTGAAAAGAATCTGTGATTAAGTGCCTGTGTCTTAGATGCTATTACAACTGTTTCATAGATTTGACAGATGAAGAAACAGGCTCAGGGAGGTAAAAGTATCTGCCCAACATTATACGGTGAGAAAGTAGCAGAGCACAAATTCAAAACAAGGTCTAACATTGAAGACTGTTGGCCATATACAGGCTGACAATCATGGCCAGTCTTGATCGACCCCATGAAGCTGAGGTGCTTCAGCTGTCATCCTGAAATCTCAAGCAAAACTTCACATGGGTCCTCTTTCACACAATTCCACAGTAACTGAGGTCCAGCTAAAGGGCCTCTTTCGTTCATCTGCCTGTGACTGACATTCGGTGATAACCACCAGGTGACACCCCGGATCTTGGTCTGGGTAAGGGAGGGTGGCTGGGTAGGTGTGTGTATGTAGGGCTGTAGAGATGAGGGGAGCAAAAAGGGTTTTATTTCAACATTAGGGCAACCACTTACTTAAGTGAGGGCTTATTCTGCCTGCACTGTGCTTAGCACTTCACATGCTCTATCTGATTTAATTTCACGCAGCCAACAACACCTGAGGTGGATGTTCTTTTACTGAAGAGGAATTTGAAGCTCCGAGGGGCTAAGTATAGACCCTAATTACACAGGTAGGAGCAGCAATGTGAACCTATGTCTTTCTGGCCCCAAAGCCTTTGTTCGTAACCATGATGTCATATATCTCCCAGAAGGGCACAGTCATCCAGGCAAGTCTAAGCACATGGCTGATGGAGAACCTACAGCCTAAAGGCACCCACTGGCATAAGCAGACTTCAGGTCTTCTGCTGCCCAGGCCAGCACTCAGCAGCCCAGCCCCTGGGCCTGATCCCAGTGGGTCAGCTGGACGCCAGGTCAAGAACTTCAAATTACACATCTCACCAGTCATGGAGTTAACCGGATCTAAGCAGCCAAAGGAACACCTTCCCAGAAAGCCCTGACAGAGGGGCGTAGCCTGGCGACATACAAAACACTTCAGGAAATGGGTCCTTCAAGAACCATTAGATAACAGAAGATAAACCCTGGCCATGTCAGAGCTCCCACCCTGGAAATGTGCTACAGCAGACTGGGAGGGTGGGAAGAGCTGAGATCTCACACAGACCCACTAAGGAGAGCAAGTCCTAGAAGGCACCAACACCTAGCTGCCAGCTCTGCCTCCTAGCAGCCACTCGGGGGCGGAGCTGGTCTTATCAGAGAGCACCATGAACCAGGCCAGGTGGAGGTGCCAGACAGAGGAGGGAGGATGCTGGGACAGCTTCCAGGGGCTGGGACTGGCTGTCTGAGAAGGCGAGGGGCAGGTAAGGCACCTCTTAAGCTGACAGGGAACAGGAGGATGTACTGATTAGAAACAGATCATAGCCCTTCCCCCTTCCCAGACACCATTCCTCTCCAAACCCTTGCCCAGATCGGAAGGGATGCCTGAGCAGTGTGAACTCTGGAGTTTTAGAACTGACTCCTTAAGAACATGAGTTAGGGGATGAAAGGGAAAGAGAGGACCAAAGTGAAAAGAAAAGTAGCTTGAAGTGCTGTGAATGCAGACATGCTAAATACCAAGCTCTCAGGACTTGTTGGCATTTTCTGAGCCCCTGTCCATACTAGGAACCATTCTGGAAGCTATACGTGAATTATCTCTAATTCATCATAAGCTAGAAGGTAATACTTCCACTTCAGTCTTTAGGAAATAGGCTCAGAGCTGAGCTGAAGTGATTCTTCAAGGTCACACAGCAAAGTAGAGATATGCACTTGTGCTTGTCTTAATTCAGAGCTGGTTCCTTCTGCAATGTCTGACTGCCTAAAGCTGCGGTTCTCATAGATGTGTGAGCACCCTATGAAGAGTATAGCAGACTCTGGGGACTGGTGGGAATACATATAGTTTAAAAAGCTTATTTGGACAGTAAAAAGCAAAACCTATGGTTTTTCACAGAAAGTACAGAAAACAAAATTCGGCCAAATCTCCTTGGTTCATGGTCCAGTGTTGCTCACTCACTGGGTGGCCCACGTTTGGGGGGTGTTTGTGAAGAACAGCTGAACCAGGCTGGTAGGAAGTAGGCTGCAGGGAAAGTTTCAGAAAGGAGAAAGCAAGCTCTCCCCAGGAAATCTGGCAGCAGGGTTTTAATTTTTCTGTGAACAGAGCTAAGTACACCTGGGAACATGTATGTCCTGTATACCAGGCTCTTATCTCTGCCCCAAGTCCCTGTGAGAGGCAGGGCTGGAGGTCCCAAGCGCACCCACCCCTCTCCTCACCTGAAGAGCCGCAGACACATCTTCTCCTGGGGAAATTCCTTGGGCCCTTCCACGCTGTCATCATGGCTCTCGGTCTCCAGGTAGACGTCCAGCAGCACACACAGGCGCTGCAGCTGGTTGGTCAAGAGCTGATGGCTGGGCCGGGGGCCGCACAGCTCCTTGTAGCACACGTTGACCTCGCTCTCCATGGCCTACAGGTGGGAAAGCCAGAAACTCAGCACGACCTTCCGACTGCTGGGTCTGATGACTCCACAAGAACTGGGCCTCTGCAGCTCGGCCACACCACGTCAAGCCTGGCTGGACTGTCCTGAACCTCCCTCTCCACAAGATGACGGGGACTTCCTGAATCTGACCCATAACTTTCCCTGCCTTGCACACCCACAGCCAAGATCGAGATGTGTAGAGAAGGAATCTCAAGATAAGATCCAAGTCAGAAGGCGTTAGGGTTAAATATGTGCTCCATGGCCATAGAGCCGCTACAGAATCAACAGGCTTAACAAAAATTACAGCTGCAAAGATCTCACACATCATCTCATTCTTGCACTTCTATGCATCTGAGTTAATTCCCATTTCCACAGAAGACCAAGACAACGCCTTTCAAGGTAGGTATGTATATTTTCCCTATTTTATAAATGGGGTGAAGCCCATGGACCCCAAGCTAAGTAAGTGGCTGAGATAGGTCTAGGCTCTTTCCTCTTCTACACCATGCAGCCTCCAGGATTCTACAGACCCTGGCAGGACCCTCTGTTCTGGGAATTACACCAGTGTCCAAGCCCTCAGTTGCGACAGATTCTGCCACTGTCCACCTCCCCACAGGGGCTCTCCCTGCTCCTCTTGTCACTCCCAGCAGGGCCTTACCCGAATATTGTCATCATTGCTGTTGGTCTTTTCCCCTTTCCAGTTTAGACAGAGCTGGAAAATGGGTGGGATGGAGGAGTAGCCGGGGTTCACCACCACGGCAGCCTGGAGTTTGGCTGGGAAAGGAGGGAAAAAGGGGGAAAATCAGTTCTGAGACCCAGCCTGACAGCCACGCACTCTCCCCATCGGACCCCAGAGGCTAGAGAGCTGTGATGTCTCATATTCACCCAAGTGCTACAAAGCCCATTCTGGTATTAAAGTGATTTCTAGACTCTCCGACGTGAGATTGCCAGGTTACAGACCATGAGGTCCTGTGACTCTGGTCCCTCTTAGAGATGTGTGGATTCCCCAGGGTCTGGTCCACATTGGGTTTGCCCAAGAGTTCTATTTGCTCCTTTGACAGACATTTGTTTTAACTGGCATTTCTTTATTTGCCGGCAAGTTAAGGATTTTCCCATGTGAAGGCTTACTGTCTGTTTTTTCTTTCCAACAATATTGTGTATTAGCCATTATGTTACATCAAATATATTTTCTCTATTCTATTCCTTTTATTTTTAAGTATCTTGTTATGTGAAACTTAATAGCCAACATTTATTGAGTAGTTACTATATTTCCGAGCACTGTGCTAAGACCTTTATGAACATTTTATTTCATCCTGACAATGATTTCATGAGATGGGTCCCATTATTATCATCTCTATTTTACATATTAAGAAACTGAGGCACTGATCAAACAGTAACAAAGCAGCAGCGCTGAGTTTAACCAGAACTGCCTGATGTCAAAGCTGTGTTCATAATCATTAAATGAAATATTTGTATTTGTTAACATATTCAATTTTTCTCTGGTGGCCGTTTTTACCTTTTCAGTAGGATGGCATTTATCTTCTCCGCCAATGGGCTAAGTGTACCCTTCTTTTTTTCACTATTTATGGGGGAGAAAAAGAACTCTCTGATCCACCAGCGATTCAGATAACAGCAGACAAGAGAGTACAGGTTAAGACAATTCTTCCCCGACAGTCACAACACTTATTATAAAGTGATTCCTTTCTTTACTGTTGTGCTGCTTCTATCATAACAGTCTGCATATATTTCTGGATTTATCTCTGCTCACCAATTTTTTGCTTTTAATCGATGCTATGTAAAGTTTTCAAACTGATCTACTGTAAAATGACTTAAAGATTATATATATGTGATTTGGAATTGGTGCCCATATATTTAAATTTCCCTCTTAATTTTTCAAATTCTAGTGTGTCTAATGAAAATTTTAATTATCACATTCATTCTATGTGTGAATCTAGAATACATATTATCTTCCTAAGCTTTCATCTCCTCAACCAGGAAGCAGAAGTGATGTCTTCCAATGGCTTCCCTTGGGACTTTATAAATTTCTTGGACTGCATATTTTGTGCCCTTTCAAAACAATACTCTATGGTGTTTAGGGATGAGGTGAAAGCATTTTTTAAAAGGGGAGAAGATGGGAAGCAAAATGCACAAATTCCAAATAGTAGTCACCTACCACAAGGGAGAGAATGAAATGGGATTGCAGGCCTCAATTATACCTGAAATATTTAATTTCCTCAGAATATATATATATATATATATATATATATATATATATATATATATATATATATATATATATATATATATTTATATATTTATTGTTAGTTTCAGGTGTACCGAACAATGCAATAGTTACCCTTTTCACCCTCACAAAGTAACAACCCCCCTCCCCCCTCCTCAGAATATTTTTAAAAACACACAAAGAAAAAGAGAAGGGAAGAAATTGGGAGCAGAGAAACTCTAACACCAAAGAGTGCAACCTTTCCTTACATTTCTGCACTATCGCAAAACTACGGACAATTCCCTCGGCTCTGTGGCCACAAGCCCCGGGGATCAGACCCTATGGTGAGTGCTACCAGGTCTGCTGAGGTTGGGGCCAGACAACAGCATTACAGCAAACATCTGGGTGGCTGCAGCAGGGAGCCCTGGTGAATCAGATGCTAGGACAGCTCTGAAGAATCACAGCTTTTGATGCCTCCAAAATGAGTGCAGAAACTGCAGACAGGGAAGGTTGTGCCACCCTGCACTTCCCAACCTAAGAGGGACATGTCAGCCCGTCCGTGAAGTGGTGGAAGAACAGGTGTCTGATTCTAGAGTGGAAAAGCCAAGGGCTAAGAGCTCAGGCTCAGAGGTCACACTGGGTTTGTGACTGAGTCTTAATTTCCTCACCTAGAAAATGGGAATATTACCACCCCAGGACCATCATGAGGATTAAATGAGATATAGCACATATGTGACTGTATTGCAGAACGAGTCCTTGCTAAACAGTGGCTATCACAATCATTACTATTTGCTAAGTCCCCAAGCAGGATTCCAGGATCTTTCACTCCCTTTGGGCAACTCCCAGGAATGTTTTATTCTTAGTAGCTCCCCTTGTCTAGAACCACTGTGATCAGCAGAGCAATTACCTGTGCCCCTTTCCACGAGTGCCATGTAGTAGAGATTGGTGTCCCCAGCCAGTCCTGACTCCACAATGTCTTTGGTGAAATGCAGCTCCTAGAAGTCACCAGAGACAAGGAGAAGTGAATGGCTAGCTCCTCTAGTCAAACCTCCTACCCTTTTGATGGAGGGGCAGAAGCTGAAAGATGAGGTGGGCCTGTAGTCCCCAGCACAGCAATGATGACCTGTCACCCCTCTACCTACCGTGTAATCCTCATGGGCAATCGTCACCCACTTCACCAGGCGAGAGACAACCTTTGCAGGGAAGAGGTACTGGCAATCACTGGTAACTGGTACAATGCCATGTTCTAAAAGATAGCCAGACAGGTGGTGTCACAGGTAGAAATCAGGTGCCATAGCTAGTTAACTAGCATCCTCTGGAGGGCTCAGATGACTCTGCCAGCTGTCCAGGTACACCTGGCACTCAGTAGGTGCCCAGGTCGACATGTGCCAGGAATGTAGGCACACCAACCTGACCTTCACCCAGTGCTATGTGCTTGTGGCCAAACCCAGCACCAGCACTCACGGTGCTTTATCCTTAATGCAAATGATGGTCAGGAAATCAGAAACCCCCAGCAGCTAGAACCTGTAAAAGTGCCTCTGCAGCAGTGACCGTTAATTAGATCAAATAGCCGAGAGGGCTGTTTTCATAGCTGACCTTGACGGAGGAAATGGCTGAAGCGTTCTATGTCAGTCCCTCTAAGGGAGAAGAGCTGGAGAACTGCTCCAGGGTATATTCTTGCTGGCGCTTCAATAAGCAAATATGCCAACACAGTAAATGCTGTCCGGGATGACAATCATCCAACCTTAAGACAAAACTAATTCAGCAATGCTGATGGGGAGCAAGGCCCGATGGACAAGCAATGCTGCCCTGGAGAGATCAAGGTCCACGTGGAGCACAAGAACTGAACTAGAGGGACAGGGTCTCCAGATGGGTCTTAGAAACCCAATGCTGTCCCTGACAGTGACTCTTAGATCAGAAATAACTTAACCGTTACTACTCCGAAAGTGCCTCGTACATAGTAAGCCTTTGACGAGTATTTACTGAATGCATAAATGAAAATAAGCCCTCATAGGGCCACCATCTTGGTCATTGGCTCATGAGAGTCACCTGGGAGCTCATGAAAAACAGAGGGGCTCAGCCTCACCCTGGAGGGTGTTAGCTTAGGTCTCAGGGCAGGAATGAGGGGTGGATCCCTGGACAGCTGTATTCAAATAAGCTGAAGGTAAGCTTCCCGAAGCATGAATTGGGCTTCGACTGAATATCTGTAGAATGCACACTAAAGTCTGACCTGCACTAACTTAAGATGAGCTGCTCCTGACCAATCCACTAACTTGTGCCACCCAGAAAGCTTTGGCCTCCTTTGTGAACTGAGACAGCCCTGATGGGAGCTCAGATCTCTGCTTGGATGGGCCTACAGCTCTCCCCAGTGGCCCTGCCAACACCTCTGCTCAGCAAGAGCCATGAATCCAGCCTTCTTTGATTTGTTGTCAGGATTGAAGACATCTGAGTGAAGGGCTAAGTCATTTTTGTCCCTGTGTTATCCGAATGGCTCTCAAGTCACAGCCCTAACACCAGCTTACCCAGGGATGCAAACTGTTTGTGGAGGGCCAGGCGG